GAGCACTGGGTGTTATGCACAAACAATGAATCATGGACCACTACATCTAAAACTAATGATGTAATGTATGGGGATTAACATAAGAATAAAAAAAAAGAAATTAGGTAGCTTTTGTAATGTACAACATTTTATATAATAACTGCAATTATGACTAATAACATTACTGTTGTCTCATATTGGACAAGCAAGTATCAAGACATATGGACATAGAGGACACTTACAAAAAAAAATACACTATATGTTAACTAAATTGAATTTAAATAAAAAAATTTAAAAATTAAAAAAGGGATGAGGCCCTTCCAACCAATAAGGATGAGGCACTCATTTCCTCTTCCCTCATTAGCATATTGGACCAGAGTGGGAACCTGCTGGGCACTGTCTCTGTATAAGCAGAGTCTCCCCTCTGTCCCAGGAGGCCAGGCTGACTGCTCTTTGCCGGTGCCCTGTCTTCCTTCAGCTCACCTGTAGCCCCAGTAAAGCCTTGCCTGTGCCTTTGATTTTGGGGTCTTGCAACACTCTGACCACAAATGTTAAAAAATCATTGATAATATGATATCTGGAAAATCTCAAATGGGAAATTATGCAACAAAAAAAAATCTGTGAGTCAAAGGGGTATTACAAAGGAAATCAGAATATTTAGAGCCTGAATGACAACAAAAACTCAACATATCCAAGTGCCAATACAGCCAAAGCAGTGCTAGAAAGGAAATATATAGTTCTCTATATCCAGAGCATTGATCTCTTCCTTTTCCCCTTTTTGTACAAACTTCTGTGTCTGGAAGCTAGGAAAGAAGAGCGTTGGGAACCTGAAATATGTAGAAGGAAAGTAATTAAGGTAAGAGCAGAAATCAGTGAAATAAAGACAGATAATAGAATCAACAGGATCAAAAGTGGACATGCAGGAAAGATTTACAAAATTGATGAACCCCAAGCTAGATTAATCAATAAAAAGTAGAAAAAGAAATAAGGCACAAGTAATCAGTATGAGAAAATGTTAAAGGACTATCAATAAATCTATTACAGACAATCTAGAGATGAAATGAAATATAGGAGCACCACATGCCAAAGGAGTCAACAGTAGAAGTGGAACGGTCAAGTTTCTTTGACAAAGATGAACACCAGCAGAAAGAGAAAATCTGAAATACACACACACACACACACACACACACACACACACGAAGACCTTTCGACAAAGACCATCTGAGGCTCAGTCGATTTAACTAGTGATTCTATCAAAGACTTAAAGGGAAGTATTACCCTTGTTGTACATTTTCTTCCAGAAGAGGCAGGAGGAAGAAGTGATTCCCACTGTTTTTATGAAGCCAGCACAAGTATGAGGCCAGAAATCTCACCGGGATATTTCCAGAAAAGAAAATCAGACTACAGTCGACTGCTCCACAGACAGGCTGATATAAGCAAGGACAGTGGTCGGTTTTTGGGTTTTGTTTTTTTTTTGTGTGTGTGTGTGTGTGTGTGTGTGCATTTTTTGGTGAGATTCATTTCTGAAAAGAGGATCTTTTCTGGATATGGTAAGGTCTACATTTTGATGTTCTTGGTAGTTAAATGGATGTACACAATTGCCAGACTTAGTGAATGATACACTTACAATGTGTGCATCTTATTATATGAAAATTACACTTCAATAAAAACAAAGTGAAGCAGTTTTATGGAAAGGACGCACTTTTCAACAGTGAGAAATGCTCCATGAGCACACGTCACTTGGTAATCCTGTGTATGTGCTGCTTTATTAACCACCGTCACATTAGTGGTCACAATAAGTGCATCACATTTGTGGTAGTGATTCCCAAACTCCGAGAGGATGAATGGCTTACTCCAGTCTTTAGACAGCATGTGGCAAAATCAGGACTGAAACTCAAGGTCTTTGCCTCTTGGTTTTTCCTTTTCCCCAAAAGAATACTTCGCTGGTGCACTACCCTTACCTGAGAAAACCCCGCCGTAGCACCTGCTGCTGTAGAGTGCTCTGGAATCCTTGTTTTTGTTCTGAGCCTCTGAACGTCATTGGCTGGTAATTGGAATAACAGCCTTAGCACACGATTATAGTTTTATAGCAATGCATGACTTAGAATTCTGACTTACTTAAGATTCACCCAATTATCTGAATTAAAATATTTTCTTTGCCTTCACTGTGGGATCTGGAATAGATGCTTCGATATGCCCCCATGGCAACAGAAGCTTCCCACCATCGTGATGTCCGCTGCCCTGCACTGTGCTTTCTCTTTCTCCCTCTGCCTCCATCCATCATTGGTCTCAGAGCTTTCCCGCTCATGGGTAGAGGAGAAATGATTTCTTATTCATCTTGTATCCCAGGCTTATTATAGTGTCTGGCACTGAAGACATACTTCCTGAATGACTAAGCAAGTAGGGCAGATGCCTTCTGGGAAACTCTCACCTCCTGGTCTGCCGTCTGTCACCACAACTGCATTGACACATTGATTAATAATTTGTCTGGAAGTAAAGATCCCCTATGATGGAGTTGATGATATTAAAAGTAATATTTTCATTGTGCTATTTAAGTGCAGCATAGTTCAGCTTGCTTGCTTATTGGCCAGTACACTGTATGGGGCGGAGGCTGTGGGATGTAGTTTGCTCTGCCACCTGCCAAGCTGGAAGGGTTATGAACGTTTTGTAGGAGTCGCTCAGTTGTTGAATGAACAAATACATTTCTACAACTACATAATACACACCCAGTTCTGCAAATATATCCATCTTTCTCTGTATTGGTTGTGATTTTCGTGTACTTTCTTGGTTACCCCAAGGCATTGTCTTCCATTTTGGGGTAAGATTTCAGGGTTTGCTGTTTATATATGGTAGTTAACTCATTATACATTATTTTCATTGATGGTGCAACATGGATATTAGCCTTTTTACATATGCATACTCAATTTTCCCAGCACTATTTATTGAACAGCTTAGTATTTCTTTGGTTTGTAATGCCATTCATCAATGTTCTGTATATTAGCAGGCAATTCTGTATGCTCTTTGTTCTCTTCAATAGCTATGTTGGCATTGATATCGTAGTGTTTAATTATTACTGTTTTATAATGTCTTGGTACCTTGTAAGAAAATTTTGTTCTATTTCTTCTTGATCTTTCTTCTTAAATGTTTTTAAAAAGCAAATTGACTTCCTGGATTCTGCCCACTGGGAGGATTTCCCTTCATGGTTGCATTTTACAGCCATCCCTGTTCGGGGCTGTTGTACATTTGGCTGGTTATGTGTATATTATGCAAACCCCTCTGTAAACCAGGGTTGCCCTTTTTGTTAGCTTTCCATAGGGAACCCCCATGAGGCCACAGGTGATTGTTAAGGGCAAAGCAGTACACACAGCGATAGGCACAGGTAGCAGGTGAATGAGTGAATGATCTAGTTACCGATGCAACTAGCTTGCACCTGTTCTGATACATACCATTTTCATGGATAATTGAATATTACTATTAATATCCAATCTTATGATTTAGTAGATCAGAAAAAACACAGTTATGATGGACAGTTCGGGTTGCACAATTATTGGTGCCTTATGGTTAAACATGAGGTTTCTACCAGGGTCAATAGGAAGCCAGGAACTGCTTACCAAATTGAGGATAGTTGTTGGCAGAAGATGGCATGGCTTCATTCCAAGCACAGGGGACTATGCAGTGATTCTTGCACTGGGATTTATCAGAATCTCTATAATTTTTTTTTTAAAGATTTTATTTATTTGCGAGAGAGAGAATGAGAGACAGAGAGCATGAGAGGGAGGAGGGTCAGAGGGAGAAGCAGACTCCCTGCCGAGCAGGAAGCCCGATGCGGGACTCGATCCCGGGACTCCAGGATCACGACCTGAGCTGAAGGCAGTCGCTTAACCGACCGAGCCACCCAGGCACCCTATCAGAATCTCTATAAAATGCATCATTTGTCTATCCCACAGGAAATACCACTGCATATGTTGACACACAGCCCTAAGGGACAAGACGGCCAGAACCACTGCCTGGACCTGACACAGAGGTCTAGGAGGTAGACCTTCTTGCTCTTTGCTCTCTGCCCTGAAACCAGCCATCTTCAAGGTTACTCAATAATTGTATTTAGGGGCTCCTGGGTGGCTCAGTTGGTTAAGTGTCTGCCTTCGGCTCAGGTTAGGATCCCAGGGTCCAGGGATCGAGTCCCGCATTGGGCTCGTGCTTAGGGAGGGAGTCTGCTTCTCCCTGTCCCTCTGCCTCCCCCCTGACTTCAGCTTTCTCTCTCAAATAAATATATAAAACCTTAAAAAAATAATTATATTTAGGAGCATGCCTACATATCCTATTTGCAGCCTCCAAGATGTAAAAAGCCCATGGAGAGTTGTGTCTATGTCTTTGAAATGGGTGCTACAAAGTGTAACACTGTCTCTCCCACTTTAGGGGCCCTTCTGACATTCTCAACTGCTGAGGCTAGAAACATTGTCAATGTGGTAGGTCTTCAAGCTTTTGGGAGGTCTCTCTCTCAAGCTTGCTTCTTCCTCTCGTCAGATCCAGTGAGTACAGTGCCATCAAGGTAACGTGATACTTGAGATGTGAAGACATTCAGGTTCCTTCTGGTCTGTCTTATGAGAAAGCAGGAGAGCTGGCTCAGCCGTGAGGTAGGAGTGCGACCATGTGCTGAGGCTCCATCCATGTGAGGCACCTTGTTTCTGATCACCTTTACTGGGAGAAATGGGGAAGTTACATGCCAGGTCAACACGCTGGGTGGTGAGGCAATGCTGGCTTGCTTCGGTGAAGATGCCACATTCAGAACCACAGCGAGGGTGGACATCGCCACCTGATTAAGGGTGCAGTGACCACAGTCCTTCTCTCTGACTCCTCTGGTGTTCTCACCATTCAGACAGGAAAGGCAGAAGGAGATGCGTAGTTTTCTTTCCCCTGCAGGCTCTGGTAACACTGATGCCTAAGGCATGTGGTACTACTTTGGGTTTATAATTTTGGTGAAGGAAAGGCATTTCCCGGAGCTTTCTGTTGGCTTTCCCTGCTATAATACCCCTCATTCCACAGGTCAGGGAATCAGCATGGGGATTCTGCCAGTGGTGAGGCATCCTGACACTCAGTGGGTCCGTTATTCCGCTGGACTCCCTGTGATAGTCAAACTGAGAACGGGTGTTGCTGGACATCCTCAAACCCTCCTGGGGGCACATTCGTTAGCTTACCCGATAATTAGCTTCAGCCCAGAGCCAGAAGCTAATAACCTTCAGAGGCTTCTCTGTCTTCCTTTTGGCCGGTAAGTCTCCATCCTTGTGAAATGGTTTCAGGTCTCACTCACGAGGTTTAGAGATCGTTTCCTGTATATTCTTGTGGCCACATACACGCAGGAGGCCAGGAGAGGCACCGGCGAGAACACCCAGCACACTGGAGGGGGAGGGGCTTCGACGGAACCTCCCAGGTAGGAGAACATTCCTGGGCTTGCCTCCTGCTGGCCCATCCCAGGGGCCTGACAGTTCAGGTGGGCTCATGCCCTTGTCCACAACGCCAAGAGTGTCTGCCAGGCCGGCGGGGGGCTTCAGGCATTTGTGAGCAGAGGTGAAGGAGGAGACAGATGGATAGGGCTGGAGCCGAAGGAGAAAGAAAAGACCTAGGGAATGAAGCTGTGTCTAAAATGAAGAACCGAGAGGTAGAAAGGACAGGGGGAGTAAGGACTGAGAGGGACTGGAATGAGTAGAGCAGGAGGAGAGGTCATTTTGTTCATTTTAGAACATGCATGGAATGAAGGCGCTGTATCAAGGGGAAAGGATGGAGAATTTTGGAGGAGATAAAAAAGGATGTGAGAGGTATTGTTGGGGTTCAGAAGCTAGATTACCTTTAACAATCTTTGAGAGTTGCCAGGAAGGATTGAAGTTAATTTAATTTACCTCTCTCTCTCTCTCTCTATATATATATATAACATATATAAGATATATATATATATATATATCATATATATGATAGAGTTCCACATGCATTTTGGCTTTGATAGTGAGCCAGGAGTGACTGGTTCTAGGTCCTCCCTGAGAGAAGATTTCTGTACTGGGAGAGGAGACCCCAGCTGAGGGATGAGCACCACAGCATCCGCACGTGCAGGTGAGGATCAGAGCAGGTGCCGGGCAAGCTCTGCAGACGTCTCAGGTGTGCTCACACTTCGTCACTCTCCCCTCCGCCTTCATTCGCCAGAAGCTGAAGGAAATGTCTTCCTCTTCCTCTCTGGATGGATGCAGGGAGGGTGGCGCTGATGGGCTTGCCCCTCTGCAGAGCCTAGAGTTGGCCACTAGGAGGCAGTGTTGCCTCTTCTCAGACTCAGGGTGCGAGGCCGGATTCCAGATTATTACAGATAATAGAGGAAAGAAGAGACAAGGGAGCCAGAATACGCAGTAAGCGCTTGTGTGAAGTGTGAGAAATGGGAGGACAGGAAATCAAGGGTTTCTTCAAGCATTCTGACGTAAGGAAATAGGCTGCTTGCAACCCTGATGAGTTTTGATCTCATGTGATGACCCCGTCAGGCAGATGGAGAACACAGGCTCCCTCTAGAAGCCGCTAGTTAGCTGGTTTACCG